CATATGAGGGTCTCTTTGCCCTGATTGCTCTCTGNGATATCAAAAAAGTACTCCAGAGTGTTGTTCAGCATGGGGGTGAGTAGAAAATGAAGGCTAATCATGTTTTGGGTGTACTATTCCTTTAAGTAGTGACGAGTCAGTCGTAATCACTTTTTCATTGAAGGAATTTTAGTACAGGGTCCCATACTTTCTCAAACACATCACCCTTATCTTCGTTATAGTGTCTCAGTCTTTCCAGATGCAGAGTATTTGCTAGTTCTCCCAACCACAAATCAAATGTCGGCACAGAGTCTTTCTTCCAAAATCTTCAAAATCAATCTTTTAGCAATCACCGTACCAAACAAGACAGCCATTTTCTCACTTTTAGTGGCTGGTTGCAGAGCACTGGAGATCCTGATGATGTCAATAAGAGGATCTGGATCCCATCTTTTTCCAAAAGCTGCTGAAAAAAAAAGAAAAATTTTCTTCCAGAATGAGTGCAGCTGAACACATGACCAGAAGGAGTGCGTCAGGTTACCAATAGCAACCCGACAACACACTAGGAAAGAACGTGCTCAGTTTCTCCCTCGAATAATGGAGCCTATGTATAGTTTTGAACTGTATGAGATTGTGTCTGACATTGACTGAACAATATTGAATACTTTTCAAACCCTCCTCCCACAGATCTTCAGATAACTGTTGCCCCAACTCATCCTCCCATGCCTTTTTAATCCTGGCTGTGTCTACGCATATATTGTTAAAGATCTTATAAAAGTGAGACACTGCCCCCCGACTGACAGGATCAAATTTATTTATTTCCTCCAGGGTTTTTTACAGGGATTTTTTTTTTTGTTTTGTGGCAAAGTTGGAGGGAAAAGAAACAAGGAAACAATTTTCACTTATTTTAAATTAAAAGTTTGGCCTGCATTTTAATTCCACCCTCCTGAATTAGTAGTTTGTAGAAGAACTTTTTACCTTTTATCTTTTTATCATTCTTTCATTGTAAACATCCATTTCTTAAAGGTATAGTAGAGGATTTTCACAAATCTTTGAAAAGACCCGCCCCCTCAAAAACAATATTTTATTTGCCACTTAAAACCCTTTTTAAATGGTTTGTTATTTTTTGACAAAAGATGAAAAAATAGAATGAAAATTTCAATGTTTAGCAAAGTTGTTTATTTTTAGCAAACCAATAATTTGGACCACTTTTCAATGGCAATAATATTTAATAACTTGCAAAGAACTGTGGCCTCAGTTTATTCATCAGCTTTTAAAGAACTGAGTGCATTTTCCCCGTAGCTTTAAGTTCCTGAGATTTTCCTTACAGAAAGCTTAAAATATTGATGTTTAAATTTTTGATTCACTTAAAAAAAAAAGAAAAATTCTTCTTCAGTTCTCCTGCATTCTAGAAAATCTGCAGATGATCAACTGGATTGTTGGAACAGGTTGTTCTCATAGGACATGTTGATCCCAATGTTAGGACCATGTAGAAATCATAGCTCTATAAATGTTCTCCAGATTTCTGAAATGATCCGAAAGAGAAATTATCAGATGATGTAACTTAAAATCAATGTTTTTCCTTGAACTAATATTTCTTTTTTCTGCTGTTCCCTATTTATCTGGGGAAAAAAATCCATTGCACAGTCTAGAAGCAAAAAGAGAAAAGTTGATGAAGGTATTTCAATCTGAAAAACTCACACGAAGAGAAAAGGACAATTAGGAGAAATTTATTGATACAATTACTTTGTCTTTGGCAGCTCAGACCTCGGCAGGAAACATAGCGCTGAATTTTGATAGATATGCAGGAACAGGAGAAAAGAACAGGGCTGTTTCCCCTCCCAGGCCTGAAACTGGTGGTGGAGTGGAGATAGATGAAGTTGGTCAGTCTGTAGACTGCTGGTTAGCGAGACGGTCTGTTGAACTTTATGGGGAGATCCAGAGGACTGCGTGA